GCTCACCAGACGCTCCGACTGGATTTTTTCCATATATCCTGTCAACCTTGTGAAATTTTCGCCATCTTTTCCAGAGGTCTCCAAAGGAACCCCTCCGGGAAGCCAGGCACAGTGATGAGCATGCTGGCCAAGCTGCCAGCAGAACATGGCCCCACGCATTAAAAGCCCGGGTATTGGGAAAGGTGCCTCTTCTGCAAGCAGGGGGAGTCACTGCAGAGGCAGACCGCCGAATTGGGATTGCCAGGCGGGGGGGGAGGAGTCCTCGGATCCCCTCTCCTGGAGCACAGAGAAACCTCTCTCTTTGGGAGGCAGCCGGGCAGCAGATGGCCGGGCTGCGGCACTGAGCTCTCAGGGGGTGTATCATTTCTCTGACTGTTCTGGATGCTGATACCCATGTTGGGGAGGAGCCCTTCCTTTGACTTGCTCCCGTCTTCTTTATGCCCTGATTTTTTTGCAGCTGCTACTAAAGATCACAGGCAACTTGAGCTGCAACCTTGCTGGTACTCTTGTGGGTTGTCTGCCACTATTCCTCCCCTTTGTGTCTCTGCCCATGGGGGGGAGGTTGGAACTCGATGATCTTTAAGATCCTTTCCAACTTAAACCAGTCTATGATTCTATGATTCTGTGACACTGATGTGCTACGTTGCATCCTTCCCTGTGCCCCAGATTTCCTCCTGTATATGTAGAGGTCCGCAATGTATGATTAAAACTTTAAACCGCAAGTGCGATTCAGCTTTGACATCCTTTCTAATTGCAAAAAAAGGTAGGGACCTCTGACAATGACCCTATGGTTTCAGAGGACAGACGAGACTAGAAATTGCATTGGGCTCATGAGAAATCACCTGCATCCTTTTGGGATGTATCACATAGATACACATGTACTGTGCCACTATTCCCCACTACAGCTATCCAAATTGCTTTGCCCATCAGGTGGCAACTGCCAAGTAAGTAATGCTGTGACAAGTGAGGGACACTTTGTCTCAGTTTTCTGAAATATTAGTGGTGCTAGTGAAGTTGGGGTGGGAAGAAAGGCAGTCGCTGAGGAGGATGAAGTTTTATAGTTACAGACTACTCTGAAGTAACTTTTCTGACCTCTTGTAGGTGATTTCTGTAATACTTTTCCTTGGTTAATGAGCTGTATGGAAGATGCTTCTGCTGTATGACAGGGGGAGGTAGAATTGGTTGAGATGTGGTGACTGTTGTGGCCCATGGTGTCACACTTTTTATAAACTGTTTCTAGGAGGCCCGATTTACTTTCAGGAGAGAGTTGATTTTCCTTTGGATACGTGCCCTGACACAGAATGTGTCCATGTACCAGTTCATCCTCCTTGGGAATACTTCAATTTGTGAGAAAGGACATTGCTGACCTAACATTGTCTCCATTGGTTGAGCGTGTTTGCAAGTCTTAGAGATGCTGAGAACCTCAGGAAAAGAGATACATCTGTCTCCTCAGCTCAGTGATCTTCCTGCCTTCTTCCCACCTACAAAAGGATTTTTGGAGGTTCTCAACTGCAGCACAGACTGTAGGAATTGCCACACCTGCAGGTGTATCACTGTCCTATTAGTAAGCTTGAAAAAAGGGTATTTGCCAGACTGCCTCCAGGCCATTCCAATCCTGGACCCTGTCTGTCTGATTCTTGGTTTTGAATTTTATGGATAATAAGTTAGTTAGCTAACAGTAAGTAACTGTTAGCTAAACAGTTAGTCCCGAGCATTTCTGCTTTGCGTGGGGAAGAATCCCAAGGGCCAGGTTCTCACAGATAGCTGTGCTCCCTGCAGATTTTCTTCTCTAAACCAAGGGGGCTGTTTCGGAAACCTTTTTCAAAGGGGAATTGTATAGGGACAGGCTAAGTGAGACTAACCATAGGTGTGGCAGACAGGTTGAAGACGAGCACCCCACATTTGTCTGGAGAAAAGAGGCAGGCCTCCATGAAGAGGGAAAATATAAATTGGGTAAGATTGAGAGTGATTGGGAATGCCTTGAGACATCTGGTTCCCATCTCTGGTTCTCATTTCTATCCTTATTCAAAGCGACAAATGCACAGTAGCTGTCTCTGAAAATTGATGGGGGTAGGAACTCAAAGTACTCTTGAGAACAGAGCTTGTAATGTATCGAACATTGGGTGGATGGCGGAAATTTCTAGTGTTAGCCACTTATGTGAAAGTCAAACTCAAACCAAATTGGTTAAGCCAACAGAGCCAGTCCCCAGGGGGATTGAGAGTTACATAGGCAAAGATTTCAGGCGATCTTCTGGAATTGAGGGGCTTCCTGGATCAGTTTTCTTTGAGAGCAGCCAAAATGGTAGAGCAAGATAAGTGACCTCATACAAGCAGTAAAGGTATCTGTCTGATCCATGCCTTTCCCGTTATTTTTTTTTGGTAGAAAAAAAAAATAGCCAGAAAAATAGGAGCAGACAAAACACTGTTAGTTTTTTTGCTTCTTCCTAGCATCCCATGTCACCCACTAGTTTTTCAGGATGCTAGGGAAACAGTTTTTTCAATCAATTTTATTGGAAATAGCCAGAGCCTCTGTATCAGATCTGATTAAATAATTTTCTGCCTTGAGCTCTGACAGAATTGAACTCAGGGGGCTGAAACCCAGATGCTCTCTGAGAGCTTCCCCTTCTACAATGGACTAAGCATCCAAATACACGTTACTTTCCTGCTTTCAGGAAAAGATACTCTCATCACTGTTTCTGTTCTTGAAAGCTAGAGTCAGATCGTCTATCTTTTTTTTTGTTCTAATCCGATGGATTCAGTAAATATCTAATATTTAAGCTGTGTGTGGCCAAATAGCACTCTTACAGATAAAAATTCTATAAAGATAATGTAGTATCATACTTCTTGCCAAGTTAAAGTTCTTGCTGTAAGTTGGATTGGGTCTTGAGGTATACAAGGAAGGCACTGTGGGAATGCACAGCTACTTCAGGTAGGTGTGCTGTGCACTGATTATTTCATTTTAAAAAAGGGTAGTTGCTACAGTTTTTACCCTAAATTAGTACTTGAGACGGCACAGAAATTTTATTAAACAGCCCTCCTTTATTGTGTTGGCTGAACTGTGTGAGTGTGGGGGACTGTTTCAAGTTGCATTTGTTTGATTGCTGATATTAGTGGGGCAAAATAATGACACTTGGAACTACCGATGCTTTGCTTGTGTCATGGAGAGAAAAAGCAAGCTCCAGGCTACAGAAGGCACTAGATCCAGGTACATTCAAGCACCTGTTGTTAAATACAACCAGAGAGCTGGCAAAACATCCGGTGAGAGGAGTTATCTCTGGGAGGTCAGCTTGCATTTGACGTCAAAAAGAAGCAGGCTGGTGGGGAGTGATCTGCAGGGTGGTAGCATCAACTTCTCTCCACTCGAGGAGGAAGGCGAATGCTGCCAGGTGGACATGGCTTGAGGAATCATGTGGCATCTGTTCCTTCGTTTTTGCAGTCACCATCCAGTCATGGTCCTTGCAAAGAGGTGCTGTCTTTACCAAACGTGTGAACCCCCCTGTCTAATAGCTGACTTCTTGTTGACTTTTAACAATCTTATTCCAGTTGGATTGCGCTCCTCTATCTCTTTGTTCAAAAATAATAGCTTTTGTAGTAGTTAGCAATTTCTCAGGCAAATGCAATTCTGTAGCATTGGCATGGTTCCATTAATCATATAGAGTAATCCGTTTGTGCCAAAAACCTATCAAGTTGAGCTGCCTTTTTGAGAGCTGGTGGGAATGTGTACCCAGTGGTGTTCTTGCCGGCATATGGACTTCCCGTGTGTGCAAGAATGGCTGGGGCGGGGGGGGGGGGGGGGGTGTCCCCCTTTGCTGTGCTCAGGGTACACAACTCAAGCAGGCTGAGAAAGCCTGGCAAGCCTTAGGACTCAAAGTGATATGGACAGATCTTAAGAAAGTTTTATATTTAGGGACACATGGCCTCACCAGCCCTTTTTCATTCCCTCCCCTGAAGTTTTTAGCAGTCAGAATAAGGACTTAAGTCTTCTTAAAATATAGACAGGAGTTCTTTGAGCCTTAAGCTCCATCACCAGTCTAATGTGTGTCAGATGGGGACAGTGACCCTCAAACCAGATGAGGGAAAGAAATGTGTGTTTCCTTGGGCTATATGGTGAACTGCTGTCAATGAAAGGGGGACTTAATGTGGCCCAGCTAGCAAACAAGAAAGATCGTTTTAGTAGCAGGGTTTATGAAGACTTCAAGTGTTCAGCTCTATCATCTGGGAGACTAGAGAGGAGAGAGTCCTCTGGGCTGAACCCTGTTTGGGAAGTACACTCGCATTGGGAATGAGCGTTGTTGTGTGGCAGGGTCCAAGCCACGTGCATTAACCGAACTGTGCAGATGTCCTGCCTGAGCCACTGGTGGAGGAACAGGCAGAAAGTGGCAGCACCTTTGGGGACAGAGGGAGATGAGAACAGGGGCCACAACAGGAGTATGGGAAGCACACAGCAGCAAAGTGGGGAGGAGATGATCAGCTACAGAAAGTTTCAAGGCTTTGAACCTGGGCATGGAAAACTATTTAAGAGGCAGAGAGAGGAGCGGGGCTTGGCAATGGCACATGTGAGGAACAAATGGAAAGCTGAAGAAGAGGGTCTCTGCATGAAATGTTGAGAGGCGGAAGGGGATCAGGCTTTTCTGCTTTGTTCCATCCTATTTTAGTAAAAGGTCGATGTTGGTGCTAGCACGAGGCACTACCCATTGGGATAGAAAGAGGATGGGGCTGAGGTGAGATCATGTTCTTTCAGGTAGGAGAGAAATAACAATCATACAGCATCCTGTAAGCTGTATGTGTATAATGTGAAATCCCACAGTGTTGCAATGACATTGCTATGTTTTGGAAACCTGAGTTACAGAGCTGCAGCTAACTGTAGCTGTCATAGGGCATGATTTTCCTTCAAGTGTTAACTGTCTCCATGTTGTGTTTGTTCAAGTTGCTCGGACACACCAGATGTTTCCAGCATGCCGAACTATAGTGAGTATGTGGGACTTTGTTTCCTTGGTTAGATCCCAGACGTTTCACAGCTACCTGGAGGACATCATCAACTATCGCTGGGAGCTAGAGGAAGGGAAACCCAACCCCCTGAGGGAGTCCACCTTCCAGGAGCTGCCCCTGCGCACCCGGGTCGAGATCCTGCACCGCCTCTGTGACTACCGCCTCGATGCAGATGATGTCTTCGACCTCCTCAAGGTGCTTTGGGCAACAGGGAAGGGGGAAATGGTGCGGCTGCAGGAGCCGGGCCAGATCAATGAATCTTCCTGGGAAGAGAAGGGTTGCTGCTATTAAATGTATTTTAACGCCAGGTACTTGGTGATGGTGCAGTGGGTTGGCAGTTCCCCATCTCCTCCCCTGCCTTGCAGAGGACCCAAGGCAAGCGCGCAGGACTGCTTTTGGGGCCCTTGTCCTGCGCGGGTGTGTTTGTAACACGGGAGTCGCTGAGTAAATTGGCTTCATTGGCTACTCTTCCTGCGAAGCGTGAATTTGGAGATGCTCCAACTGTAATGGCAGGGCTGTGAGAGCTGAGACTGCCTTGCTGAGGCATGGTGTGAGATGAAAGGATGGGGCTGAAGTGTACTGGGGGAGCTGGGGGAAGGGTGGTGGCAGGGAGGGGGGAGGGAGCTTCTCAGGGCTGTGCGTGACTGTCGCCAGCACTAATTAGACCTTCCCTGTCAGGAGCACCAGAGATGAAATGTTAAAATGAGAGAGGCCATTCAAATTAGAGATGCCAATCTAAATCCCTCCCTGGACAGAGAGTGAACGTCGCCTTCCCCCTGGAGTAATATTTTCCCAGCTCAGCCTGGAGGAGCAGCTGTACTGCTGCTGTGGCATGGTGGGAGGGGAGAAGGGAGGGAGGTGTTTGTGGAGGGGTGTCATCATGTTTTGTGTGACAATGTGGCCGCTTTTCAACTTGTCACCGTCTGGCGGGGGGCTCCCGGTGGGCGCAGGGCTTGGACGCCGACAGCCTCCGCGTGGAGCCGCTGGGTGAGGACAGCAGTGGTGCCCTGTACTGGTACTTCTACGGCACGCGGATGTACAAGGAGGACCCAGTGCAGGGGAAAACCAATGGAGAGCTGGCTCCAGACAGGCAGCAGCCCCCCCCCTGCCATGTCTCCCCCATGTCTGGGTGATGGGGGGGAGACAGCGCAGCCAGCCCGGCTGGAGGGCACTCCGCCTGACTGCTGTTGTGTCGGGGAGGGGGGCCTGGGAGAGGGCTGGGGCGATGCGGGGCGAGACTGGAGTTGCCAAGCAGACTGCGAGCTGCCCCGCGTCGCACATTGTGTCGGAGCCAGCCTGCAGCCTTTGTGGCACCAGGAGAGCCTGCTGTGGGAGCGATGCTGCCTACCCCACCGCATTCCTCCCCGTCTGCCCCGCACCGTGCCGGCGGCTCCTAGATCAGGCTCCCAGCGAGTGGGAATCCCTCCTCTCCTCCCCTCCCTGTCCCGTTGCTGCTCTGATTTAATCCCTCCTTTGGTTGGGTTCCTAGCAGCTGTTCCGATTTCCCTGCCCTTCTCCCATCCTCCCAGCCGCAGTTCCCTGGCTCAGCAGATATTTCATGGTGGTTTTGCCGTTTCGCAGGGGATGTGGGGGGCAGACAAACACCCCGAACGTTCCTGGGAAAACGGGCAAGAGACGAGGGCGACCCCCAAAGCGGAAAAAACTACTGGAAGAAAATTTGCTGAGGTATGGAAAGGTTGTTCCTGAAATAGACATAAAATGCATATGTTCCCAGAGGTAAGTATAATGTACTTCTGGGGTTCCCCCAATAAGTATGTATATACCATGCTGCCATAATTTCAATGCATCTCTGAAGTGAAGCAGGCTCAGACTTGGTGGGTCCTTTGATCACTCTCCAAAGAAAATTCTGACTGAGCTGGAAGCCAAGTTTGGTGAAACAGTGGGTATCACTCTTCCAACTGCCTCACTTCGCATGCAGTTCCCCCGTGCAGTGCTAGGGCATACGCTCCTGATAAAGAACGCTTTCACTGTGCAGCGCTTGAAGCCAAAATCCTGGCCACTGGAGTCAGTATAGATTTTGGGATGCTTCCCGTAAGAATTGAAATACTGTCCTTGCCAAACTCCAGCCTGCACCCTTCACTTCTTAAAATTTTACGAAACTATGATAAATATATATGGGAATATATATATCAAGCCTCTGTTCTGCATGCTGTTTTTTTCATGGTTTTGCTGTGCATTGAATAATTACTGTGTCCCCCATTCTTCTTCTCCAAAGCTGCTGCTTTCTATATCAAGCCTCTGTTCTGCATGCTGTTTTTTTCATGGTTTTGCTGTGCATTGAATAATTACTGTGTCCCCCATTCTTCTTCTCCAAAGCGGCTGCATTCCAGTGATGTGAAGTAGTGTATTTATTGTATCACTCTTTCCCTTTCTTTTTCGGTAGGGAGAAGGCAGAAGAGAACTTGATAATCCGCGAGACTCAGATAAGAAATGGTAAAGAGATTTTGTGGGGTCAGGGTTGATACGATCAGCTAACATGGCTCTTAAATTATCAAAGCCCGGAGAGACGCCTTTCTCGGGAAAGGGAGACTCTTTCTGTCAGGGCTTGAGGCCGAGTTTGGAAGGAGGGGTTGGAGTTGCAGGCTGCCTTGCAGCTGGGAGCCTAGGCACCTGCAGGCTTCCTATCTTATTGTGGATTAGTTTGGGATGAAGAAACGTAACGTATTAGGTTACCCTAGGCCTTGGGGGCCCACCTACTCACTGAAGTTGATGGAAATGTTCTGCAAATGGCCCTTGCTCCTCCAGGGATGAGGTGAACATAAGACCCTGTTTGTAGCGGATGCGTTTTTTCAGACCAGGAAGACAGTGGTGTCAGTGATGCCAAGATAGGGAAGGAAGAACCATTTTGGTTGTCCTCATCGCTCCTTCCTGATGGCCATTGGGTGGCTGAACTCTGTAAATGGTGACTTGGAGACACCCACCTAAGGGTTAACAAGGCAAGCAGTAAAATCGAGTTGGCAACATAATGTGAAACTGAGTCCGAGGGGGCTGGGACTCATTTGTCATACATGCGGATCCACATAACCCAGGGGCTGAGCCTGCTTGTTGCCCCACAATAAAAGGCAAGGGTGGCATTGTCTTTGCTGTGCCTCCTTCCCTTCGTCCTTTGTCTTCACATTTCTGGCGGCTGCTCCGGAGCTGGGCAGCAGAGCTGGAGCGAAGTGCATTAGGCACTGGGGGTTTTATCAGATCATTGTCTTTCAGCAAATTGTGTCACTTCAGCTGCAGAGTAATCTTCTGGTGGGACAGAGTAGTGCCTTAGTCCTGGCTGGTTTTGAAATGAGTTGTCCATAGGCAGCTGGCAAGGGAAGGGGGAACGAGAGGGCAGGCACTGAGGGCGGCGTGCAGGTAAGCTCCCCACTGCAGGTGGGCAGGGGACAGCTTTGCATAGAAACCAGCACGTGGTTGGTCCTTTGCCGTCTCGGTTACCAGTCCCCAGTATGTTAACTTGAGCTGAAGCCGAAGGCTGGTTAAGCTGTACGGTGGCCTGTGACCTGGAGCTAGCGCACACTCCCTTTGCGCCGCTACCACAGCACGGAGGTTTCTGACAGAGGGCATGTGGCTGGAGGGAGGCTGCAGCTCTCCGGTCTTACTGGGGCAACCTGATAGCTCGCGTGCCAGAACCACTGGCAGCTCAAATCCACAAAGGGCCCAAGGTCAGGTTCAGAGAGAAAAGGGCTCTGTTTTTTGCTTCTTTATATTTTTCATAGTTAATTTACTTGAAAATGCGGTGAGAAGCTGCATGACATCTGCCAGTGGGGGTGGTGACCATTGCTTTCTTTCCAGTAGCCTGTGGTTAGCTGTAGGAAAGTCTAGAGGGAGCTGAGAACTCCTCAGCCTGAAGGTCTTCCCCTCCCCAAAAATGGGCCACCACGTTTTTTGCTTAGAGAGCACCCTGGGGCAACAGCATGCAGGTTGCAACCCATGAGGTGTTTCTGCTCTGTGTAAACATTTGTGGAGCAGCAACCACATTCCCCTTCTCCAGGTGGGTGTTCCAACCACCACGAGAGAGTCTTTCCTTCGCAATTAATATTCAAATGTTTCACACAAGGCGGAACAGGTCAGAGTGTCTTGGTAGTTGGGACATGCTTCAGAGCAGCGGGAGATCTGCTTCAGATCCCCCTCTGGATCGAACAGGGATGGGATGTGAACTTTTGGAACTTCCCCCTCATCTGGCAGCCCGATGAAGCCCATCTTTCACTTCCTCTTCTGTTCTTTCAAGTGCCTGCAAACAAAATGTTTCATTTGGGGAGAATGGAAGGTTTTATTCACCGCAGCAAAGGTTTGCAGTGCTAAAAAAAAAAAAAAAAAAATTGGCTTATTTCAAATAACATTAATTTTCAGTGTTTTTATTCTGCTGCCAGACTAAATCAGACATTTGCATTACCCTATGTCCTGCTCTGGCTGACAGCCTCCATTACAAGAAACAAATTAAATCCTTTTCTCTGCTCGGCCTTAACTGGAATGGAGGCTTGCTACACAGGGATGTCACGCTACCCATGTGCTGCAAGTGCCACCCTTACTTCTTCACCCCTGTACTTCCTCTGTGTCTTGGCATCACTTTGGGCATCGCTAGGGAAGGTAGTAGTGCTTCTGTTGGCTCGCAAGAGCTTTGGGTCTATAGCAAGGAGCATGTTTCTTGTAACAGTGGCCACTGGCAGTATCTTTTGCTCTTCCTGAGCCCTGAGGAGAGGTGAAGGGATAAAGAAAAGTTGTTAGTCGTATCTGCTGTGGAGATAACATCCTTTCATGTTGTTGAAGGGTCCCAAGGGCCTGGCCGTGGGACATGGTGGCTGCTGTGTCAGACGGAAGAGGAGTGGAGGCAGGTCACAGAGAGCTTCAGAGAGAGGACTTCCCTTAGAGAGCGGCAGCTCTACAAACTCTTGAGTGAAGACTTCCTGCCGGAGATCTGCAACATGATTGCACAGAAGGTGAGGAGACATGACATCCTGTTTACCTCCCTATGACCGCTTCCAAGAGCATGGACATTTGATGATTGAAGGAGAGCTAAATCCAAGCAGCCTATCACCCCGTCCTGCTCACCGCTACTCCAGCCTGCAAGTGTCGTTGATGTGGGGGCTGTTCAGCTTGTATACGTGGAGAAGGACTCTCCCCCATGGAGTGGCAAGGCTAGAGTCGATAATTAGGGATCTGGTTTGTGACTGCATGGCAGCGTAGGTAGGATGGCTGAAGGGGTTACTGTCTTCAGCCATCTTCTGTGTCCCTTTTCTGCTAGCAGGGAATCTCCATCTGCTTTTGAACTGCTGCGATTTACAGCCTAGCTTTTCTATGCAAACTGCCTCTGATTTCACTTTTACTGCCGTTTCTCAGCTGGTTCTGCCAAAGGGCCAGTGGCTGCTTTAGCTGTCCTAGCTAAGTCCGCTTGAGCTGGTACGTCAGAGCCCTGAAACCCGTCAACTGAATGTTTTCAGGTGGGACAGATTTGGAATGGGATCCTTCAGCTAGCTGGCTTTGTAAAATGGGCTCTGCATTCAGCGTGATGTTCTTGGATTGAGTTCAGTTTGCTTGTTTGTTACCCTTGTAAAGCTAATAGGGATTTCATGGTCACTTCTAGCCCCCAGAGTTTCTCCTGCCAGTATCACCGATGTGCCCTAATTTCCTCCACTCTCTTTTTCCTTCCCTCAATTCTCAACCCTGTTTCAGGAGAAGCGTCTACAGCGGACAGAGTTTTCTCCCAGGTGGATGTCTGACCATCAGCCCATCAAACCAATCAAGCAGGAGGTGAGGGGGGGTGCGAGGGGGAGGACGACGGAGGGAGGCGAGAGCAGATGCCTCCTGGGGGAAAAAATAAATCGCAGCATCGCTATTCAGTGGAAAGGAGTCGTTTGAAAGTGCTGTGCTTGTGCTGAAAGAGAGATGGGTGGTAATGCCCGTCAAAGGCAGGCTGACACTTGGGGTTTCTATGGCGAGCAGGGAGGTGCTGCCCTCTGGATCGCAGAGGTAACCGGCCTTGCCGCAGACTCCAGTGCAGCTGCATATGGAAATCTGCACTCAGTCTGGGGAATTCCACTTCAATGAAAGTGCTGGCACATTCGAGGCAGTTCAAAGAAAAGTTGAAGAAGGATGAGAGGGCTAGAAGAACCGGCTTACAAAGGGAAATGACAGAAATTCAGCCAAGGGGAAAACGTGAGGCTGCAAACACATGCGGGTGTAGACAGTGCGGAGGGAGAGAAGAATGACTGATGCAGTACGGAGCTGAGCGAGGAGGGGGTCAGCTGGAAATGGAAGTCACAATTTAGGCTGCTTAAAGAAATGCTTATCAAACTGCAGCCTTGTCAGCTGAAATGGCTCTTTCCATGCCTCTTCACCCTCATCTCTTCTCCACCCCGTCACTGTAACAGCACTGCCACTTGCGGGTCTGTGCAGTGAACCAGACCCAGGAAGATGACTGGAGTTAAATATAACCTTTTTCTTTGGTCGGGGTTATTTTTAACGTAGATCAGCTTTCCCGATCCAGTTCACCACGCAGCCCCAAACAGTCACGTTGGCACAGCCAGGGGCGTGGTGCAGTGGAGATGGAGGGTCTTTGAACTGGCAACTGCTACCCAAAGCAATCGGTCAGGCAACATGGGATTAGCTTTGGAGGAAAAAATTGGCTTGATTCTGTCAGGCTGTGGCATAATCTCTCGCTGTAGATGTAATGAAAACATAGTTACCTGGTGTTTTGTCAGACCCTGGGAAATTAAACTGCAGGGAATATTCCATGTGAGCCAGGGTCAGGGGTTCCCGCAAAACAAAGGAGAAAGTACAGTTCCCCGCAATAAATATAATTGCTTAGAATAGATAAATAAAAGGAAGGAAGAACCTCTCATCATGCTGCAGATAAAAGCCTGCCGAGAGGAAAATAAGACCCCAGTGATGGTCAGTTTGGGGCCAGAATTGCTCTCTGCAAAGCCCACCATGCAGGAAGCGCAGGGACACATGTTTGTTCACAGGCAGCAGAAATCCCAGAGGAGAAGGGGAGTGGGAAACACATGGAGCCTGAATGATGCTAATCAGTACCGCAGGTGCTCCAGGTCTGCGTCGGCAGAGGGCTGTTAATTGCTGCCTGTGGGCCAGTGAAACGTTTCCAGTGAGCCGGGGGCCCTCCCAGCACCCACTGCACTGAGGCATGGGAAGCCGGCCAGCGTGAGGGTGGTGGTGCTCGTGCTGGCTCCCCAGCAGGACATGGCAGTCATCCCTGCCATGGGGGAGGCAGGGAAAGTGCCAGCATGTCCGATGGCTTGTTTGCCAGACAAGGGGTGGGCAGCAGGCGAGTCTTGGGGAGAAAACCTCAGCCCGGTGCAGGGGTGACCCCTGGCTCCGCAAGCTGGATGTCACTTCGGCCCGAGATATAACTGTTCTGTAGGCTCCTAATCCTGCGGGGGATTTCTTAACAGGTGGTTCAGATTAGCTCCTCATTAAAGAGCCGCCTGAGCAGCACCCTCATTAGGGCAGCGCTGCGGAAACCGGAGCAGGGAAGGTTTGGAGGGTGAGGGGTTGGGGCGCCTGGGGCACCCGTGCCTCCTGGCCTTCTGCCCCTGAAGCCTGATACCCACTGCCTGGAGAGCAAAGCAAAAGGCAGAAGTTTGGCCCCTTTGGAGTCCCAGGGGGGTAGGGCGGCGATGTTGTGTCCTGGAGTGCTCTCTGGCGGAGGGAAGGAGGCGCTGATGCCGTGGTCGCAGATGAGAGGGCTGGTTTTTATCCTCCAAGTGGGGAGGAAGTTGGAGAAATGTCCCTTTGCCACCTCTTCATTCCGGAAGGAAGTTTAACTTGTGTTGGGTTCTTGTTTTTATCTTTCCAATAGGTGTCTGCTTTTATCACATCTAGTAGGAGTTTTCTTGTTTGTGTTTGCTTATTTTTTTAACCCTGAGTTTCGCATTCCTTATCCCCCATGGACTTAAGTGGGACACCAGGCAGTAGGTCCCTCTGAAAATCTGGCTATTTCTATGTCTGAAGTGTCTCAAAGAGCCTGTGCCACCATTGCTGCTGCCTTGCAAGCACTGCAAGGAGCAAGTGCAGTTGTCGCGGGCATCTGCTGCAGCCCTCGGTGCTCACTACACTGCACTTGGGGTTTCTGCTTTTCCCTTTTTTTCCTCTTCCTAGATCTGCTAGCATGAAATCCTCTCCTTTGCTTCATATTGTCCCATTGCTTTGTCAATGCCATATTCATGGTGGGTTGATGTGGAACATGCTATAGGTTCTGTGTCGCGCCATTACTGTATAGGGTGCTGAACACACCCTGCAGGCTTAGAGAAGCCCTGGTGTGAGCACTGCAGCTTGGATGGTGTGTTCACCTTTCCATAGGACACGAACGGTGGAAGCTGTATGAGTCCAGGGAAAGGGAAGGTCTGACTTGTGCACCAACAGCTGAAGAAATTGGTGTGGCACACCAGGCTGGCTTAGATCTACTGGCTGGAGAATCTGGAGGCTGATGGTCACATCCTCAATAAAATATCTTGGGGTACCAACTTCTGGTGGCTGATTCCTGCTCACCTCTTTCTCTTCCTAATTGCTGCAGAACCTGATGGTTTGTGGTTCCTATTGCAATTTAAAGATTGATCTAGAAAGTTAGGGGAAAACTAGTTGATGATGATCAGGACTGGGCCTGAAAGGAAGATGGTTACAGTGCATGAGTAGCAAATAGAATGGTACAGTGGTTGAGAAAGGGATATGAAAAGTGTCAAAATTGGAAATGTAGAACACCATTCTTGAGCTTAGGTTCTTGAGCTCTTGTACTTGGCATAGCGGTTTCAGTCCTGGGCATCCTGGTCTTTGGAGATTGTTCAGTTGGATGAAAGGTCTGAGAGAGACAACTGGAATGATTAGGGAGCTGGAAGGATTGCTGTATAAGGAAACCTTTAACCTAATTACAGAGACATAGGAGTTTTGTGTAAGCATCTAAGGAATCCCATAAAGGCTGGAATGTGGCTGAAGAAGAGAATTTATGCTTGCCCAGAAGAGTGTAACTTGGAATAATTGGATAGAATGAGGGGATGAGAAATTAACTTTGAGGAGAAGCTGGCTAACCTAAAGGTGTGTGGACTCACAAAATGATTTCCTTAGGAAAGCAGTAGAAGAGTGAAGTACTAATATTTCGCAAAGATCTGAAAAGGAAAAGAAAATGGGCAGAGTTCCCTTGTGGTGGGATCATGCTGTGGGTTTCACTTAAAAAGACCATCACAGAATAGGTGTTTTTGCTGTCCAGTCTGTCCCTAGATGCAGGATGCGGTCCTAATGTCATCAAGAGTCCCATCACCATCTCTTGGACACTTCTCCGTGGCTGTTGGTGGTTGAAGTGTAATTCTCTCAATATGTTGTTGCTTCTGGAGATGGGAAGATAATACATGATGCTTGTCCTCAGAGAGTTGCAGTGGGAGATTGTAGGGCAGTGCTACGTAGGGGAAGGGGAGGCAGAGGTGGAAATGAATGTACAGTGAAACCAGACAACATTTCTAGGCATTTATCAAAACACCCTGTGGTTCCACTTCTAGGCAATGAAACAAGGACAAAATAGGAATCATTGTGCCAGATTTTTTTCTGGGGATTAATAATGAGCCTGTAGAAGTTGATGGTCTGAGCAGCAGCCAAGGGACCCCAGCCGATTGCTAATCCTCAGGAAATGCCTTTTGCCTAGGTGTTGGTTGCTGGTTATTCCCTGAAAATGAAGGTGGGGAGAACTGTATGCACACTGTTCTTTTCCAGTTGATATTCCCTCCTGATAAGGCACACATACGTTGGTCTTGCAGAAGTCAAAGAGGTGGGAGTGGCTGATGGATGACCGATTTGTTTGTTTTATAATTAAGCTAAGCTAATAAAGGTAATTCCGCACTGCCATATACATACCTTAAACTGTGTTGGAGAAATAGGAGCAGGCAATCGCTGGTCTGAGAAGCCTGCAGTCTAAGTGGGATCAAACACAGCCTTGCAGCCTGCTGGCAGTGGGGAGGTGAGGAAGTGGGGCAATAAAGAGCCAGGCGTCCTTGAATAAGAAAACTGGTTGGGAGACCCAGCAGGAAAACTGTCCAAACAAACAAGCCAGAGCTAGTTCAGGGGAGATTAGCACACAGAAATATGGCAGGCCTTATTTTGAACCGGAAAGGAAAACGTTCCAAATAATACCTTGAGGCAAGGCTGTATCAGTCTCTTTTCCTGTACTCTGTGTTTTATAGCAGAGCCGGGTTCGGCAGAATAGTCCTTTCTGCTCACGCTTGCGATTCAGGGCTTTGCTAGCTGGAAGGGGTAGAGGTGTTGTGTGGGGGTGTCAACAGCCTGAATCTTTTGCCCAGAAGGGAAATACACATGGTGCACCCCTGGCAGAGTGGCAGCTTGTCTAACCCATTGCTTCTCCTTCCTTTGTCTGTATCAGTAGGATTTCATTGCTTGACAAATAACTTTCCTTTACGTGTTGCTCTTCATCTGAGAATTCATATGTACAAATCCTTTTTTTTTCTTTTTTTTCCCCCAGCCATTCATTGTAGGTATGCTTTAATGCTTGCTCAAAGTAAACCTGCCTCTGTTCAGACTTCAATAAGCCAATGCATTACAGTGTTTGGTGCACCATTTTGTCACAGGTAAACCCAAACGTGCTGAGTTCGATGGAGAAGCAGAGGCGCAGAGAGGAAGAGGAGGAGCGCCAAATCCTTATAGCAGTACAGAAGAGGGAGCAGGAACAGCTGCTAAAGGAGGAGAGGAAAAGAGAGATGGAGGAGAAGGTGAAAGCAGTGGAAGGTACGTGCGGCCAGTGGAAGCAGGGGTGGAAACTTCCAAAGCCAGGATTGAGATCTTGAATTGAGATGTGCCATTTATATTCCTCCCCTGCCAGACTTGCTAACGGGAATATATTTTCTTGCACGTACCTTGGATAAATTTTTGTGACTGTAGCTTCTTTTCCTTTGTCTATCTCCCTCGGTGATGGTAGCTATTCTCTAGTGCACCCTTCAACTGTGTTGTCTTCCTCAAGTCATGCTTATTTTTGCCCTTGCCCCAGCAGTATTTTTTTTTACCGCTGTTTGTGTTGTTCCTCAGTTTTCTTCTGTCTACCCACTTGCCTCCTTGTGGATTTCCCTGTGTGCAGGATTAGCTGGCTTTGCTCTTACTGAATAGCATTTGGTCCTTTTGGCCCGATGCATGATGAACGAAGGATTCCCTTTGAGGAGAAAGGGAAGGGGACAATATGGGAATAGCAGGAGTACTAGTTTTATATTGCTACTGGCCTTATCAATTGAAGAACTAAAGATGAGGGGACCAGGCTACATAGAGCACCAGAGGTGGCAACTTCAGGTATTGGTCTTGTTTTTTCATGGTTTTGAATTAAATGCTGATTTAAGCTGTTCTGCAAGAAACAGCTATGTTGTGTTTAATAGGTCAGATTGAGGCACAGACATCAGGCATTTAGCCAGTATGTGTAGGAACTGATGTCTAAGAGCCGGCTCATTTCTGACCACCTTCTCTCTGTCAGCCTCCCTTATGGGATTCCTTTATCTGCTGGTTTTGCCACAATGGCTGGCTGGGCTATTGCAGTTCCAGGAAAAGGCTGAACATCTTCAGAAAGCTGTGGTGGTAATGTGTGGCGGTATCAGTATCGTGAATCCTTAAGTGGATAAAGAATCAGAAAAAGAAAAAAGATTAAGTTCATGCAAACCTTGTAAACTTTCCAAGATGAAACAGTCTGCTACCAGATGTTTGGTAGCAGACCAGATGTTATCTAAGAATAGTTTCTTTTACCTGCTTACCTTTCTAACCTTTAGAAAATCCAATTACTTGCTTGGCCTTCATATATTCCTGGTTGCCAGTCCTAGCTAATCCGGTGCTTTAAACTGAGAATCATCCAGCTCCTATATCTGCCACAGATATCTGTTTCATCTTGGCAAATTGCGAATTCTCTGTGTTTTAATTCTCCGTCTGTATAGACAAAATTAATCTTGAAGTTCCAGAAGAGCTGCAAAGATACACGTATCTTTAAAAAGGGCTTGTTTTGGTATAAGCTGTGTCCTTTCCTGGGTTACTGCAATCTCATCATCTAATGCAAAGGCCAATCAAGAGCCAATCAAAGAAAATGGTGTGGGATTGGGCAGCAAACTCTTTTAAGCCAATTTAGCATACATTCATTCTTTTCTTGGCAGACATGCTTTTATTTTGGTTTGTGCAGTTTCTTTCAGTTGAGTTTAAACTTGTCCTTAGTCAGTTTAGGCTAAGTCAGGAGTAAGTCTCCTTTTAAGCTGGTGCAAAAGCCTTTTGGAAAGGCTATTTAAGTGGCTGATTTGTTCAGTTAAATCACTGCAGTATTTTTCATCCCTAGAAAAGGCAGCTATCCAGGTAAAACTTTGGCTTCTTAACCATCTTTCCTTATTGCCAAGCTCACCCTCCGTTAGCATTTACTTTCATGACAGTTCTTATGGACAGAAAGTGACTTGAAAATGAAGTAATTTGTTTTGCTTGGTTCAGACTTGTTAAAACTGGGCATCAGTTGACAGAGATTTTAGGGTAACAAAGATTTTCTTCTATTTTGCAGTCTGTGTGGGATTTAACATTAATTTTGTAAGGTCTTGTGTAGAGGGGTGATGTGAAACACAGGGTGAAATACCTGTTCTCTGATGAACTTCATCAGCACTTCACCTGCTTCTCGGTTTTAGACTGTATGCCTGTTTTTAGATTACGTTCCTGTTTCCAGTCTGGGATTTCACTTCCCGCCACTCCAACGCATGCCCCAGGTAGCGAGCCTCCTGCTGGGCCCATCTGTACTTTCCTGAATTTAAGAGTTAAAGCAGCTTTCTAGATTTGTGCCACAACAGCAGGTTAGAGTTTCCTAGTTTTCTTTCCAGATGCTGTTCCAACACTATCTCTCGCACATACGACTTTCTAGCTGTTTGAGGTACTTCTTAGGGCATTGATTAGATTTTGAAAGCTGCTGGGTAGGACTCAACCCAAGCCAACAGCATGACAACAAGCTCTGCCAGTGATCTTTAACATGCTATATTAATCACTTGCTGTGGTATAGGGACCTGCCATTAATCCTGACTAGCTCCAGTCTCATATCAGGGTAGCGCTCCCTGATTCCTGTCAGTTTACCAGGTGAGATCCTTGGCAAGCCTTTATGGATTTCTAAAATCTACATCACATTACCTCTTGACTGCTGCTGGCATAAGATTTTTCAGTTTGCTGCCCAAGTCATTGCCTCATGTTTTTTTCAGCTTTTTCACTTAGGCATCCATTACAATGTCATCTAAGTGATGTTAATTTTACGAAAGAAGCATGAAGTACTGACAGCTTGGACAGACTCAGATAATCTCTGTTAACTGCAATTTGACGTTGGACTTCTTATCATTCAATGCTATAATAAATGCCGTTGGATTCTGTAGGGCATCTTAGATGCAAGTCCTGTCCTCCCAACTTCAGTGCTCCCCACAGTTTTATAACAGGAAATTTGGACTTTCTTTTACCAGTTTTTGATATATCTGGCCATGGACCTCCCTGGAAATACCCACCTTGTAGCTATTCCTAGTTTTCTTATGCCCTCAAACCCCATTCCAAGTGTGTTTTTGACTGACGGAATAAGACAGTAAATTAATACTCTTCCACCAGAGCTGGTGCTTCTTGAGTCTCTGGCATTTTCCAAAAATGAAGCCTCTGCTAGAGGGTATTAGTCAAGTCTCCCCCATCTTACTTTTGCTCTGAGTGTTCCCCAATGTGGCCTGTTTTCTGGGGTCTTACTCCTGTGACATCTCTCCTTGAACATTACTTTCACAGAATTCTGCTCCTACAGAAAGTTGGTTCAACCGCAGGTGTTTAGCAAGTCAAATGAATTCAGATTTCCTATAAGAAAAAGGAAATGAGGTTCATAAGAGCCTATAAACTTTCTATTATGAAGCAATCTGTTAGCCAGCTGTCTGGTTGCAAACCACAGGTTTTATTTTCCACTGTTGCTTCTTCCTGTCTCTCACCTCTTAAACCAAAGCTGTCCCAGTGGCCCTCCTGTGTGGCAGCTTGCTTGCTTTGGCTACCTGAGCCATCTTCTCAAAGTTAGCCATGGTCGTGGAGCATATTAATGACCCCAGTTACTTATTGCCACCCAGCTGGTAGAACTTCACCCTTCCCTTGGCACTGCTCTTCATCCACTTCAGTGCAAAAGCAGCTGCCTTGAGTTCACCTGGCGGAGGTGAAGCACCTGAAGGATGGCAACTTAACAAGCCAGCTCTTTCATAGTGCTTATCTACACTTAGATCTGTGCATTGAACTGCTCTCTTTGTACCACACCATTGTCAAGAATTTGTCTGGAAGCTGCCTGGGGGAGCATCTGTATCACAGTAATGTTTCAAAATCACTGATAGTAAAGTCAAGGGGAAATGAAGAGGCGTGTTGATGGTGTGCTGTAGTCTCGCCTCCTCTGCTTCTGTGTTGTTGCTGCTTTTCCTGAAAGAACAAGAACATTTCACAGGAGTTCTTGAGAGGTGCAGGAGCTACCTTCATTTTTTCCTGCAGAATCTTGTTGACAAGGAGTGCTGAATGGTTTTTCACCTCTCTTCCCCTCCCCACTGCAGAACGGGCCAGGAGAAGGAAGCTTCGTGAAGAGCGGGCCTGGCTGCTGGCACAGGGGAAGGAGCTCCCCCCTGAGCTTTCCCACTTGGATCCCAGTTCCCCTACCAGGGAAGAGCGAAGGACCAAGGATCTGTGAGTATGCAGCTGGGCATACAGCACGTGGGCGCACTGAAAGCGAGTACGGGGAGGAGAGGAGTATGATCATTCACGGGAATGAGGAAGGAGAAGTGAGGTTAGAGAACAGCAAGGAGTAAGCTGAGAAACATCTGGATTGGGTCCATGCTAGAGGAGTGTTTGTGATAAAGCCTATTTCTCAGCGTTATGGCACTGTGCATGGGGTGGAAGGGAAGATGAAGTACAAGAACATGTCTTATATGTCCTCAGTCTGCACATTCACTGTTGTGGTTCCCATTACAGCTTTGAACTGGACGATGAGTTCACAGCCATGTACAAAGGTTAGTCCTGCCCCAGCTTTCCCCTTTGCATGACCTGTTCAAAGTGAAATACTCCTCTGAGCACGTGGGGGTAACCATTCACCTTTCTTCTGTTACCACCAGTTCTAGATGTGGTAAAGGCTCACAAGGACTCTTGGCCCTTCTTGGAGCCCGTCGATGAATCGTATGCTCCCAACTACTACCAGATCATTAAGGTATGGAAAGTGGTCCAGCCATCTTGACTGATGCACTTTGACCAGGATGCAGTTTTTTGAAAGTGCTTTGAAGTTTTATGGGCTGTGTTACCCTCACAGTCAAACTGCATAACTCCAGTAGTCCCTTCTAGCCTTACAAGTCAAGGAAACCAAAGATGGGAGGCTGCCTCTCGGGACAGGAGCCTCCACTTCCCATCCCCTCTTTGTGAGGAAGCTATTTATGCCACTTTGTAATCTCCGCTATGCTTGCTTTAACTGAAGGAAGGTTTTGTTGTGTTTCAGGCTCCCATGGACATCTCTAGCATGGAGAAGAAGTTGAATGGAGGTCAGTACTGCACCAAGGAAGAATTTGTGGGCGATATGAAGACCATGTTCAGGAACTGTCTTAAGTACAATGGTGAAGGCAGTGGTAAGAGCAGTAAGACGCTAAGTTACTCTATTTGCAGTGCTGAGTCAAAGCAAGCACTGGTCTCTCCCTACTCGCCAGTACTTTATTTGTGCTTATTCTCTTTCAGGGTATTTTTGGGAGGCTGGGTGAAAAAGTAGGAGCTCCTGAGTGTTATAAAGCCTGGGGTTTTAGCCAGGTTTTTAGCACAATTAGGTGATGCTGAATTGGGGCCTGACATACTAAGGGACTCCCATGTTGGTAGATGGTGAAGGCAGAACATAGAAAGAAAGCCTGTTTCTTTCTGAGCTCATTCTTTTGTGTGCTTGTGTGTTTCAGTGTGCTCCTTTGTCTCATAATATCTATCACAGACTTTGAAAAGCCTAGGAGTCTGGTTAGCCACCAGTGTTAGTTGAGTACCACGAAAAGTGAGGAAAGAGCCAGGCTTTTGTAGTCCTTTGGATGGAAAAATGTAGGTTTTAGGTTCCTTGGCTATTGCATGAACATGACTCTGCAAATGGGAAACCCTGGGTTTAATTGCCATGCCAATTAAAATTCTGCATGTTGCTTAGGTAAGAAATCAGTTCCCATATGGTGGGTCATCACTGCAGACTGTGTCTCACCAGCACTGCCTTGAAAGGGAAAATAGAGCTACCTAGCTTGTCACTGTGGGCCCCAAGTAAAAGCATTCCTGTACTGCCACTGGGAGAGCTCTGTTTCCCGAGGAACTTCTGGGTTAGCTTAGTGGAAACAACTGGAAGGTCATTTGCTTTAAGCCCTTGTCATTAACACCTCTCACATGTCTTTTCCTTCCTATCCACTCCAGTGAAAAGTAGGAGCCCCTCTGAGCAGAACTGTCCTGTGGAAATAATGCAATGGGAACACTGGTGTTGGCAATAGCTTTTGTGTCAGAGTCAGCATGTGCTTTAGAAACCATGCATGGATAGATATGTTTGCTGATTTTCCTCTGTCTTGTAGCATACAGCAGATATTAGAACGAGTCCAAGAAAAGCCTCTGAATGTAATCAAATAGCATTGCTGGAAGTTCACGTTTCTTCTCTCTGGACTCTGCTGGCTAACTGTGCGGGTCACGCATCTCTGCGAGCAGAGGTGGTGCTTCTCGTAATGTAATTCTTGGCACTATGCTGGAACACTGGGTTAATGCTGACTCTGCAAGCTGTGCTGCTAATGGTACTTTGTCATGCCTCTTTGCCTGTCCCCTGGTGAGGTTACTGAATAAATCTGATGCTGTGCTGCTTATTGAGTTTAAGAACATAAACCAAAGGCAACTAGTTAGAAACAAAACTCTTCCTCAAAGAAACTTTTTGGAGGGGAGATGATTTATCTAATGGGAAAGTCTGATGTTGTTTAATTATTTCTCTCTATAAGGCTCTGTCCCTGATGTTGCGGGTTTTTTACTGCAGAATATACCAAGATGGCTTACAACTTAGAAAGGTGTTTCCACCGTGCAATGATGAAGCACTTCCCTGGGGAAGATGGAGACACAGATGAGGAGTTTTGGATAAGAGAAGATGGGAGACGAGAGAAGAGGAGCCGGCGGACTGGCCGCTCCAGCACAGGCAGTGTTTGGACTCGGTCGCGAGACCCAGATGGACCAGGCAAGAGGCAGCAACGCCTGGAAAATGGAGGAAAACCTCCACCATATCGAGCTACTTCCAGGGCTCCTGCTTCTTCCTCCTCTTCCTCTTCCTCTTCCTTCTCCTCATCCTCTGCAGAGGATCCAAGTGGCAACCCAATGCAGCCTCCTCGAGAAGTGGGTCCTTCCAATGGGCGAGGTTTCCCTCGCTCTCTGCAGTACGGTGGCATGCCCAGCCCTGTGCCACATCCTGGCCAGATGGTAAGGAGTAGTCTCTGCTGTTCTTCACCCATCATGCCTGCGGAGGGAGGGAGGTAAAGGGGAATGAAGCTCTCTACTGTGAAATCCCTACTGCGTGGCAAGAACCTTATCCCAGAGGTTAAAGGTCAGGGCTATGGTTTCTGCAACTGAAACTTTTCAGCCCTTAGATTTAAGCTGGTGCAGTTTCAGTCATTGCCACAGTAGCTGGGAACAGTGTCCTAACACTTCCCATGGCCAGCGTGTCCCCATGTGGGCTTGCACCAGCCCTGGCTCCCGCAGTTCTCTTCTCTTCTTGGAGAGTTACCCCATTGTGCATGGAAAGCAGTCACATTTCTTCTCTTAACCTCCAATTTATGATGCTGAACAAGCTGGTCTTCTTTTGTCTCAATTGTTTACAGATGCCTGGTAACTTTGTGCCATCTGTGTACTGCTGCATTTCGTGCTTTGAGTATTTATAAAAGCAGTAAATGAAATCAAACACAAGGCCACCCTGGACTGCAGCAGTGACCTCCCTTTAGCCCAATATTGCTTCTCTGAATGCCACCTGTTCTGTCTCCCCTCTGAGCTGTTCCTCACCCATCCTTCACTGCCTTTTCCATTTAACCAGTGATGTCTTGTGATGTGGTGTATCAGCTGCTCCTCTGAGATCCATACAACCCCTCACCCTTTTAGCTAGAGATCAGACAAAATTTTTAGCATGCTGCTTGTGATGCAAAGAGAGGGGGGCAGTGGTAGAGCTGAAGGCAATGGGTATTTTGAAGGAAATCTAGCATCTTCCCCCGTTGTCCTGCTCACATGCTCTTGTGATCCGCTCCTCTGCTTGGAGCAAACCACTGTCCCTTCCAATCTTCTTGCTTGCTCCCAAGTAGCTGGGTGGCAGGTGAGTGTATCGTGACCTGAGCATGGGGACACGTGGCCAGGCTTTAGTAGGGAAGCTATATCACCTCATAGGAAAGGGAGTGCAGGTTTTTCATGGTCTCTCCAAAAAGCCCATCTGCTCATCTGTGTGGTTCCTCCAGCCTTGCCTTCCCCTTGCCTGCACCAGCTCTGCTGCTTTACTACCCTTCACAAATTGTTTTCTTTCTCTCTCCCACACCTCTCCCCGTCCCCCAGAGACCAGCCGTGCCAGGAACGTTTGGCCCCCTGCGCGGATCGGATCCCACAAAACTCTACGGCTCGCCACGAGTGCCTGAGCCCCATCCTGGAGACCCAGTCCAGCAGCACCAGCACTTTGCCATGCAGGTAAGAAACGCTGCAGCCCAGGACCCACAGGTGCCATCTGCTCCTCAGTGCGATGGTTGTCACCAACACCCGCCCACATCTGTCTCACTCTCTTTCTCTCTCCCTCTCGTCCCCAGCCGGCCGTGGGATTGAGCGAGCACCGCGGTCACAGGCTGGCTGCCCCGGAGAAGCAGCCATGTGCAGGACCGACCCACGTCACCGGCCTTGGCCCCCGGCCGGGTGCTCTGCAGCTGGGGCGCATGAGTGGCCCCCCGCCTGATGCAGTCTACCCACCAGCCCAGTTCCAGCAGGGCTTCCTCCCCCCGAGGCACAATGGGCCCCCTGTGAGGCCGCCGGAGGGCTCGGAGGTCCCCCCGGGGCACATGTACCGGCCCTATAAGTACCTGACCCATGGGGCCAGGGCCCTCGCTCCAGCCCCGCGCCCTGGGTCATATGATGGACCCCCGGGCCATGAGGCCACCGCTGCCTCCCAGCCAGTGGACCGAGCAATCGAATTTCCTACCTCACGGGGTGCCTCCCTCAGGGTATATCAGACCGCCTGGGAAAGCCGCTGGCCAGAGGATGCCACAGCCGCCGGCCCCTCTGTTCGGTGGACCCCCTCAGGTTCAAAGAGGGTGCCAGGGTGGGGACTCCATGATGGACAGCCCGGAGATGATCGCCATGCAGCAGCTGTCCTCCCGTGTGTGCCCGCCGGGTGTGCCTTACCACCCTCGCCAGCCGCCCCCACCGCACCTCCCCGGACCCTTTCCCCAGCTGGCACACGCCGCTTCCGCCGCCGGCGTGCAACCCCCGAAACCCATCGTGGGGAACGGGAGCTCGCAGGATCCAACCGGCCAGACCATGGAGACGGAGAACAGTCAAGGTAACCCCTCGAGCGCCCACTGGTAGCATTTGACCTTCCCTGCCCACCTCTGTTGCCTGCGTCCCCCTGCCTGCCTCCCCTTTGCTTGCTGCCCAGCATCCCTCCAGCCTGTGCACTGTGCCACCATTCCCCGTGCCAGGGCAGACCCTCTGCCTGCTGGTGTGTGCTTTTGGGGAGGGGGCAGGACCCACCTCCAGGCCAGCTTTGTTGCTCTTGGGCTCCAAACTTGTAGGGACCCAAGCCTTAACTGTCACACAGGTGCACAAAGGCTGTGTCTGCAAATGTGGCATTATTTGGGTTTGTGCCACTAGAGAAGTGGAAAGTATGCCCTGACCTTCAGGCTTACTGGAGTCAATTTTAAATGGTGGCTGAGGCTCAGCAACAAAAGCAGGGTGGTTTTTTTCTGGGAAAGAATTGAAATCTTGATTAAATAGCTGCGGGGGACACAGTTTTTATATGTTTTTTTTTAATCTAAATTGGAATATATTTTCTACTCCAGCCATCGCTTAGGTTTTTCTAAGATTGTTTTGTTTCTCTGTAGCCTGCCAGAGGTCCCCTCTGTCCCAGCTATACCTGCAAGTTATCAGTTTGCCATGGGGTGCAAATGCAAAGCATAGGCTGTGATGCTTCTAGAGCTCACTTGGAGTTAATATAAAAATGGTATCTGCAGAGAGTTAGGGAAGGAAAGAAGACGTTATGTGAATACATGGTTTAAATATACTCCTTTGAGTATATGTCACCTTTGAGTATATGTCAGTACAGCTTCTGCTCTGAAATGCACATGTGCCTTGTGAGCTCTCAACATCTCAAAATCTTCACACAACAGGACTGCCCAAAAGCCCCTCTCCAGCCGTGTCAGTTCAGGTGGGATGGCAGTGTGTCATGTGTGCCATTGCAAGTTTCTTTCTAGTTTAATTTCATTCATTCTAACTGGTAAACTAGACATCAAAAAAAAAAAAAAAACCAAAAAAAACAAAGCCAAACTTAAAAATAAAACAAACCTAAAGTAGAGATCAAAAAACCCTAGAGATCAAAAAAAATATTTTTTTTTTTCATTAATTCTAGCTGGAAAACTAGAGATCAAAACCCTTGCATCTTTTATCGATCCCTTGTGTGCATTGCACTAAAAGGAAACTCTTTCCTTGTGTGGCATTGCTTAAAAGCCATCATCATTTAACTGTGCTGGATATAGAACAGAGACTGAGGGAGGACATTGAGTGATTGCAGGGCAGAGTAGCCACATCTCCAAATCACAGTTGGTTAAAATATGGCTGCAATCAGCTCTGCAGCATCTCAGTGTGTGGTAGTGCTTCTGCCCAAGCTGTGGGCAAGTGGGATTTGTGAACCAGAAGGGGCAACACAGCCTGAAAGCAAGCTGCTGTTACCCCAACTTATTATCTTGCTGTCACGTCGACCCCACTGTGGTATTTCCCAACTCTGCCTCTCCACTGGGCAGCCTCTGCACACCCATGTGTCAGACCAATGCCACGCGTGCAATGTTAGTCTGGTGAAGGTGTGATTTACTGGTGGCTTGCGAACTACAGTGTGCCTGTGTCTTGATGGTTCAGTCCACATGTGCCACTTTTCCAAGAGAGGTGCAACCTCATGAGTAGATTTTAAAAGAGCTTTTTTGAAAGAAGCAGCTACTACAGGTCACCCAACTTTGCAAAAATGCACTTTAGAATTGCTAAAGGTCTCTGAAGGGAAGACTGTGTGATGGGTGTGGGAGGGAGGCTGCAACCCCACAGAAGAGGAGTTGTCCTGGTGCTATGCTGCAGAGAGGTTCGAGTAGAGGATGGAACATTGTAGGCTTTGGAGTACTTACGATTGAAGAACCATCATGGCTTTGGAAAGTCACTCCTTTCTCTCTTCCATTTGCACAAAAGTGGGATGCTTCTCCATCCAGATGTTAGGGACTTGATGGGCAGAGAAACCGTGGGTCAGCAGCAGAAAAGGATGCTGAGAGGGTACTTTGGTAGACTTGCTTAAGCTGGCAGGAATTACCCTTTGGCACCTGTGCTTTGGGTGAGCATGAGTAGGCATGTGTATGTGTCGGGAGGGGAGGGATGATTTTCAAAATTAGACCAATGTGTGACTCTTTTCCCCTTTTCTCTCCAGTGGAGCCGCCAGCA